AATTTAAAAATAGTATTTTCATACAAAATTTATTACGCACGTGTTTGACTGTTCACATCTGAGTATATATATAAGTGTACATACGCACCCCAAGCATGCAGAGCGCCGCTCTGAGAGCCGTGACACCACACACATTCACACATAGTACATGTTTATGCGTACAAATCGCGTACTGTTGTGTTGATCCACGATTGAGAGAATACAAAGGTTGCGCCGATCTCGGACCGCTATTCCTCTCTTAACGAATTTGACAGAATCGTTGTTTGCATGACGTCATACTGGTGCAAATTGTTTACGTTTTCCTTGCAATATTTTTGCTTCTTCTTCCATTCTTGCTTACGTTTTGGCATTTCTCTCTCGCAATTGCACCAGTGTGACGTCACACAAAAGTTATTCTCAAAAATCCTCTCTGATCGGCGCAATCTTGTATTCTATCATTCTTGGTGTTGATTGCCAATCGAGCTGAGAGCAACTGGCCGTGACGTCCAAATGTATCAGAATCACGATTTAGAGAATATAAAGGTTGCGCCGACCTCGGACCGCTATTCCTCTCTTAACGAATTTGACAGAATCGTTGTTTGCATGACGTCACACTGGTGCAACTTGTTTACGTTTTCCTTGCAACATTTTTTCTTCTTCTTCCATTCTTGCTCACGTTTTGGCATTTCTCTCTCGCAATTGCACCAGTGTGACGTCACACAAAAGTTATTCTCAAAAATCCTCTCTGATCGGCGCAATCTTGTATTCTATCATTCTTGTATCAGAATGAGAGAGCAAGACGAACTCGACAAGAAAAAGAGGAAGCATCGAACAAAAGGCAGTGTTGCCAAGTTTTGAATTTGAAAAAGCACCAAATTTTTATTGGTGTATTTTATGGACTTTATATGAATACATAATTTTATTGTAAGGATGCCGATTCAAATTAATAAAAATCAATGTTTCTTGCACAACGGTCGATTTCTTCTGGCATGATTGAAGGTGCTGCACATATTTCGTTGTTGCTTATGATTGTCAGTGTGCCATGATTTTGTTTAAATTTTTGTAAAATTGCTTACCACACTTACGATTGCTATAAATTTTGCTTCCATTTTTTTAAGATTTTCTAATTTGATGTCTTCAAACTAAAAACAAAAGCACCAAAAACGCACCAAGCACAAGTATGTTGCGCTCAGTAATTGTGTCACTTAATAATGATCGGGTATGGAATTTTACCTTCGAAAATGCCTTTTCTATGGGGTTTAACAACCCCAAGAAATAAGATAATGGATATTAATGGATGCTTACATACGTAGCAGCATACTATGCTATGTTAAACCCCATAGAAAACGCATTTTCGAAGGTGAAATTCCATGCCCGATCATTATTAAGTGACACAACTACTGAGCGGAACATACATAGTTAGTGTTATTGAAAACATTATCACACCAAGGGCCGTTTTCTAATGTAAGCAGTAAAGTTGCCTTTACTAACAGGGCATATAAATTGTTCCTCACTTTAAAGAGTTTTCGTTTTCGTATCTTACGGGTAAAAATAAATTTGTTATTCCGTAGAGTGAAACTTCACTACACTTCCTAGAGTGAAACTTCACTACATTCGTCATAAAATTCCAAAGGTTGGCAATGCAACATAAGCGAATACAGAGCAAGAGCACCTGTTAGCAAAAACCAAAACCTTGGTTGAAATATCTAATATATCTAACTCATGAACCAAAACCAAACCAAAATTTAAAGTTAGGTACAAATTTTAAAGGTTGCAACGGGTAAGCAACAATTTATCGATTCGAGAAATTAATGCGCTGATGAGAAAACGAAAACTCGTATATCGAGACGATAAAGTGGCCGGTAATCTAAAGCTTAGATGAGAAAACGGCCCTAATCATGAACGAAAGACACAAGATCACGCGGGAAGGAAAGAACGAAAAAAGTTATTTTCTAGCTGCCGAAATCTCGACGCCATCTTTGTTGTAAGAAGTAAACAACGAAGAGAACGGAGAAAACCGCGAAATTGTTGAACGCATGAAAAATCATTTTTATTATGCAAATTCTTCTATAAATCATGCCGTTGTGTTAAATTATTCTTTATCTTATGTGTACACACGTTGTCACAAGCGAAAATGAAGAAAATTGCAGTAAAAAGCCACCACCAAATTGTAAACAACGAAGAAATGTAAACAAACGGCTAATGTCAAAATCGTTCAACTTTTTTCCTAAATGCGATTCTAACGGGCTAGTCTCCTGCCCGCGTGATCTTGTCTTTTTGGTTCATGGGCCCTAATTAGTCAAATTTACTGTGCGAACTATGTTATGGACGTGATCATCCAAATTCCTAAAGCGGCGAATGGACAAGCTCTTCAATAATTTTATAAACTATGACTTAGAGCCGCTGGCATCATATCTGGTTAACACTTTCTCCGAGTTAAACATCATAATCGGGGGTTTCGACTGTGTAACTAGGGGTAAGTGTTAGCTAGACACGGTACAAATAGCTCTTAGGGCCGTTTTCACCATCCCCAGTTAAACATCTTTACCGACGTAACTGACTCCATTCGTTTAACATTGTGCCCTTAGTACGTTAAGTTGATTTCTGTTCCTAAACTCAATAATGTTTAATACTTACTTCAAGAATGTTTCATTTAATTTGAATAAAGTTTCATTGAAAAATCTGAAAAAGGTTTCATTTAATTTGAAAAAGGTGTCGCTTTATCTGAAAAAGGTTTCACTTAATTTTAAAATGGTTTCGCTTTGTTTGAAAAAGGTTTCATTTAATTTGAAAAAGGTTTCAGTTATTTTGAAAATGGTTTCATTTAAGCTGAAAGTGATATATAACGAGCATGTTGTGATAGACGGTAGACACGCTTCCAGTTTAATTTTAACATACGCCCTTTCCATACTATATTAACGATATGTTAAAAATTTCCTTTATTCGTCTCAAAATATCAAAGCACATTGAGCGCATGGAATGGAACAACAAAACGGATTTGATGGCTTGTACCGACAGCAGTGAGGAATTAATTGTGACTGCCTGCAACTAGGAAAAGTCGAGCTCAGCTAATAAAAACACTAATTAGAAGCTATTCATTACATGTGAACCTTTGCAAGAAGTCACTCGGGAACTAAGCAGATCTGAGATCTTCATCGTCCGTGATTCCAATAATTCAAATTATTATAAAAAAAGGGGTGCTTTTTTAACAAAATAACAAGATTTTAAACTAATTCGGCTGGAAGTAACGACTTTCAAAACAGAATTTTCTTCGAAATTTTCATTCCTAAAAAATAACAATTTATTTGCCATATCCACCTATTTAGAAGCTCGCTACAAGCACACATTTTTCAAACCAGTCACAGAAGACAGGATTAAAAATTAATTAAAAAAACTAGAATCGAAAAATGCTATTGACGTAACAGGTTCTCCAAATTCTGAAACAACCAAACGATGTGGTTCTCCAAATTGGAAAATAACGGTGTTTAAACAACGTTCTTGCCATGATGCTAGATTGAGGAGATGAAAGTCAGGAGGATACATCCGACATTTGCAACCCGGTACAATTCTCAAAAAGGAACTATTGCACCGCAATAAAAAAGGAAAAAACTGAAAGTCCTCTCAACTGGTGCAGCGTCAATCGAAAAGAATTTACAATTCTGTCAACTTTCAAGTTTGTCGCCTCGAGCGAGTAGTTATTTAGTGGCGTAGGTTTGATTTACGACCCTTTAAGAAACAGGCTGTGACCCGAAAAAGCAAAAAAATCGACTCGTTATTAAATACAATCTACTAATTTTTAAATTCAAGTACTAAACAAAAAATCATTAAAAATGACTAACTTTTCCATTTTTTATTTACCTAAATCACCTAATGTACTCACCTAAATTATTCATTAAAAATACTTGACATCCGCATTCGCATCCTCATCCGCGGATGTTAACTTTTAAACATCCGCAACATTCCTAGTACATACGTACACTCCGAGGACCAAACATAATCTCGCACCACTATCTTGTTGCAGCCAAGATGCTCACCCCTTCGTGCAGGAAAAACTGTGCAACTATACAAGGAAAATGCTCAACGTCGAAAAGCTACAATCACAACAGACGGCCAATTGTTTCGCCACTCGACTCTCACATCTGTCCAAATACGTGTGCGTGAGGAGTGTTTCCGCACTAAATAAATAGACGACTCGCTTAGATTTAATTAATATTCTTTATTGACTTGAAAACACAACCGCCGCGCACTCGCTCCAATACAATCCTGAATACAGGTTACTCTCTCACGCTTGAACATCCTCCGGCCTTGAGACTCGGTGTGACTCGAGGCTCAATTGGTTCTACAGGTAAAACGCATAGCTTTTGTACTGGCCGATTAATGGAGCCATTGCCAGTCCAAAGTGTGACATTGCGGACTAGACCATCACTCCCTGGATGCAATGCGGTGATTCGTCCCATCTTCCATAGGGTCGGTGGCGTAGCTTCGTTTTTTATGACTACTAAGTCGCCTATCTTGAGATTCCGTCTGCTTTCTCGCCACTTGGGTCGCTGTTGAAGTTCGTGCAGGTAGCTATTGCTCCACAGTTTACAAAACGCTGAGTGATTCGTTGCCGAGATTGCCAGTAGTCGAGGCGATTCTCCGGCCATTCCACTGGTATTTGCTCCCCTAGCACAGGTACTAAACTTTCACCAATTAGCAGATGACCGGGTGTAAGGGGCGATAAGTCTTGTGGGTCAGCGCTCAGGGCGCACAATGGACGCGAGTTGAGGACCGCCCCAATTTCTGCTAGCACAGTTTGTACGGCTTCGATCGTTAACAAGTGAGCTCCCATGACTCGTCGGAGATGGTGCTTGGTAGCTTTCACCGCGGCTTCCCAAAGCCCTCCTTGGTGCGGTGCAGATAGTGTAATAAAATGCCATTCGGTTTGACGTGCTGATAATTGGTCGAAGAGGTCTGAGGCTTGCCAAGTTTGCAGCATTCTACTTAACTCACGTTCTGCGCCAACAAAATTGGTTCCGTTATCACTCCATAGATGCAGACAGTGCCCACACGAACACCGCGATATATCCTTTAATAACGACGTTTCCCCGGCGTCGATCTGGACGGACTTGTATGGGGCCTGCGTAATCGACTCCCGTATGTACAAATGGACGGGCTGGACACACCCGACACGCCGGAAGATTTCCCATCATCTGTTCGGTCGTCTTGGCTCGCAGCCTTTCACAGGTTATACACAATTTGACAATTGATCTCGCTAGCGACCACACGCCGAGGATCCAGTAGTTTTGTCTTAGTGCGGCTATAAGCTGCTGAGCCCCGCAGTGCAGCAATTTGACATGTGTTGCGCGTGCCATTAAAAGGGCCAATCTCCCCTTGCCTGGTAATATGATTGGATTTTGTTGAACGTCCGGTATATCTGCCGCTTGCAGTCGGCCGCTCATCCGTAGTACGCCATCTTGCAAAAACGGAGCCAAAATTGCAATTGAATTGGACAACTTCGAGGTCTCTACCGGTTGCTGGTGCTGAGCCCAGCGCTCGAGCTTTCGGATATCATCCCCAAAGAAGTCGCTTTGCTCCTGTCGGATCCAAAATGTAAGTGAGTGTTCGAGTTCCTTGACGCTTAAGTGAAGGTTCTGCCTTTCGGCCGATGGTGATCGGCAGTTCCGTGTAAATCTAAATACCCACGCAGTTACCCTTATCAATCGATTCATCGAAGAGTAACGCTCTAATAATGGCTTTTGTTCGATATATATAGCGTTGACCTTGGCCACCATTTGACCACTGGTCCGATCTGTGCGGTTTCTTACGCGTCGACATTCATTCTTAACTTCCATTTCGACCTGCTCGGATATCCTTTCTGGTGGGTTTGGCCACATAGCCTCGGGTTGTCGAAGGAAATCAGGCCCATGCCACCAAAGTTCGGACTCAATCAACTCCCTCATTGTCATTCCCCTAGAAATCAGGTCTGCTGGGTTTATATCCGTGGGTACATACCTCCAATCGCAGTCAGCTGTGTTCGTATTGATCTGACGTACGCGATTTGCTACAAATTGCTTTAGGCTACTTTCGCCCCGTTTCAACCAGCAGAGGACTACCATCGAATCGGACCAACCCGTGATCGAGCCGATCATTATATTATGTTGAGTTTTGCAAATGTTCACTACCCGTTGTATAAGCTCACTAAGCAGCACTGCAGCACGCAGTTCGAGACGTGGAATGGTTTCTCCTCGCAGAGGCGCCACCTTAGATTTAGATAGTAATAGATTCGATTTCACTTCAGCCCCAGAATGTATTGTCACGTATACTGCTTCACCTAATGCAAGCGTGGACCCGTCCGAAAAACCGTGTAACGTCATAGTGAGTCGCCGGGAGTAACCTATCCACCGTGGTATGCGCAGATTGTTAAAAAGTGGAATTTGAGAAAAAATGTTCTGCCAGGCCGTTTTCAATGGATCTGATAGTATCATATCCCAATCTTGCATCTCCTTCCAGATCTTTTGAATAAGTATCTTTGCATTGACTATAAACGGTGCTGCTAGGCCATCAGGATCATAAATTCGTGCGGTTATGCTCAAGACTGAACGCTTAGTCCAGCTCGTAGCATGAATATCTGGAAGGGGTTGAACTGCGAAGGCAAACTCATCTGTTGCGGGCATCCATTTGAGACCAAGAACCGATGCTTCCGTATGGGTATTCAGCCAAGCAGCTGATTCAGCAGAATGCGCACCGATGGAACTATTAATATATTCCGAATTCGATTGCCACTTAGTGAGTTCGAAACCCCCGGCGGCTAGCAGCTGCTGCATTTGATGGCAGAGTAGAAGCAAATCCTCTTCCGTGTCTTCACCCACCAAGCAATCGTCCATGTAAAAGTTGTTTAATACCGCTCTGGCTCCTCGAGGCCACCTAGCTGAATTATCTCTGGCACACTGTTGCATCGCCCGAACGGCACAAAATGGCGCAGATGCCATACCGAATGTGACCCCGGTCAGCCAATATTCCGCTATTTCTCCTACATCATTCCTCCAAAAAATGCGCTGTAGGTCCCAATGCTTCCTTGCTATCTTTACCTGGGGGAACATTTGCTTGATGTCCACCGTTACAGCATACGTGTTCAAACGGAATCCCCAAAGGAGATCTATCAGGTCTTGTTGCAGTTTCGGTCCGATCATTTGCACATCATTCAACGATATGCCAGTGTCAGTCAAACAAGAGGCATCAAAAACAACCCTAAACTTTTTCGTTATAGCATGATGGGGAATATAATAGGCCTTGTTTTCCGGCGGATTCGTCGCTGGGCGGAGCCAGTCCTTCGCTACATATTCATTTATAAATGCCTGATACTTCTGCTTTAGTTCAGCGTCCCGTCTAAACCGTTGCTCTAATTTTATGAATCGTTGCAGTGCCATTGCCCGATTAGAGCCAATACTATCCCAATGAGGCCGCAAAGGAATCTGCAACACATAACGACCGGCATTCGAGTCAAACGCGTGTGTTTTCAAGAAGTGATCCTCACACGCTTGCTGCTCCGCTGTTCATGTGGACTCATCGCCAGGCATACCCTCGAATTCGAAAAACCCTCGTAACAATTTATCAAGCTGAGAATCCTCCTCGCCTTGGCCTACGTTTTTGGTGAGGTGGGCAGCAACAACACTGTTATTAGTGGAGATTTCACCAAAAAGTAGCCAACCTAAATGGGTTTGTTGTGCCACAAACCCCGCAGACAGGCGCCGCATGTTATCCTGCATGAGTCGAGCCCATACTCCTAACCCTAAAAGCAATTGGACCTGTGCTGGTTGGTCAAACTTCGGATCCGCTAAATATGTTAATATATCACTTGGTACTTCCTGCCTTTGCAAACGTTTTTGGGGTTGTAACATTTCTCCTAATACCGAAGGCACTACCAGACAGTAAATCAGTAACCGTAGATCCTCGTCATAAAGAGACATAAAATGACCGGTAACCATTTTTTCGCAGATGTAAGATCTTGACTTGACCGCCGTTGATACTCCTACTCTAGTTCGGCGCGTACAGATCCTATTATCTTGCACGACACCCTTACTAATCAAATTCACCTGAGCTCCTGTATCGCATATTGCACGTAGCGTAACTACTGCCCCACTACTGGTCAGAAAGCGCACCTGTGCTGTTGCTAATATGTTATCGTGTAAATTGCTGCCTCCACCCGATGGTATGGTGGATCCTATATGCTCTTCTAGCTGCGACGAACCTGCACTGCTGAAAACCCCGAGGCCGGTTTTCTCATAATCCATTGGCTGCTATTGCTCTGCTACCGTTTCCCCCTCTCCGGCTGTTGCTAACGCGGATGTGCGTGATGGCACCTCCTTGGAAGTTCCAGATAGCTTGGGGCATATAATGCTGTTGTGAGGTGCCCGTGCGCATCTTGGACAACGGCTTTGTAAACAGTTCCGGGCAGTATGACCTCTTCTCAAGCAGTTCTGACATAGTCCTAGCTCAAAAATTCGTTTAACTTTCTCCTCCCTATGCATACTTCCAATTCCTGGGCACCGATGAAAAGCATGATCGCCCGAGCAGTGGAAGCAAGGGTGGGTGCTGGATCGTGACGACACGCTTGGGAATGCACGCTGATTCGTTGAAGCCTTGTTTACTTGCCTCTCGCTGTGATTAGATGAAGGTAGTGTCGCCTGACTCAATAGCCCGCTGCTCCGACGCTCAAGCCATACATAAAAGTCGGTCTGTAAATTGGGTATACGATCGGTTGGCCTAACCATTTCCCACTGGCTGCGGGATGTGCTATCTAAGCGGGACTCAAGGAAATTTAATATTAGTAAGTCACGCTGCTCTTCAGCCCCCAACTGCCTTGAAATCATACGCAAGCTATTGCGCGTCACATCAAGCATATTGCGCATTAATGCATGGGTAGCCTTTGGCCAAATGGGCAGCCCATAAATTGCCGAGCAGTGTGCAGCGTGACACAAATATTCATTATCGAACGCTAGGCATAATGTCTTCCAGGCATCGGAAAAGCTCTCCTCTCGCTGAGGCCAATAGCCCATGGCCCTGGCCGCACTATCTTTGACGCAGCTTTGCAGTCGCCGAAGGCGCTGCAAGTTTGTAAGGNCGCAGCTTTGCAGTCGCCGGAGGCGCTGCAAGTTTGTAAGGTGCGGATTTTGAATAACCTCCGCCGTGAAAATGTCCCTAAACTGAATCCACTCTCGATGGGCTCCACCAAATACTGGGAGTCTATCTGCTAAAGGCAGTTCGGCAAATTGCAACTGTAGTGAGCGACTATTTGTATGCTGGTATGCCGCCGTAGATACAGCTGGTTGCAATGACTTGATTCTATTGCAGAATTGCGCTCGAACTCCTACGTAAACGTCCTCAACCTGCTGTTGCCGTGTCATATCATCCGCCCGTTGCAGCTCACTTCGCGACCTCTGTTGCAACTCCCGACATTTTTCCTCAAATTTGCCCCAGGCTGTGGTAAGAATATCAAGACGAGCTTTGATCACCTCCACATCCCTAACTTCCGAGGTTGCCGAAGCTAACCAGTCAGATTGACGCTGAATTTGCGCCACCGTAAAATCAATATCTGCTTGAATACTACTGGCGCTTGAAATCCCTTGAGATACCGCTCTATCTATAGTGGATATGTTCCGCGAAGAACCCCCCACGATCACCTCCTGCTGATCATCTTGCGATGTGACCCTTTGTTCGCTACCTGGAAATACCAAGAGAAATGTTTTCAAAGGGCCTTGGGAAATCTTGAACTATTCTAGCCTAATTCCAACGCCGACGTTTAATCGCCCCTTACAGTATAGTAAACTACGTTTGCTAAATTTCCAAATCACATCAATGTCTGACGCGACGTCATTGCATATGCACCCGTGCATGCGTTTCGAAACTACCCAACTACCCTTAAAACCCATTTACATATATACCCCTTTCCCCTGAATTTGCATCCAGCTCATACCAATAAGTCGCAGACTAATCCCAAACTCAATTCAGTTTATTAGCAACCAAAACCACTGTAGTCACATCAAGTCGCTGTTTCGCCAGAAATACCATCAAGTCGCTGACTAATTCCCAAACTCCATTCAGTTTATTGCCAATCAATAAACCAATGCATTCGCATCAAATCGCTGATTCGCTAGAAATACCATCAAGTCGCAGACTAATTCCCGAACTCATAATTCAATTTAATTTATTTGGCAGATAATACACAAATGCATTCTCATAAAATCGCTGATTCGCTTGAAACATGGTGATAACCACACCCTAGGTGGCATATGTATAAATTGACATACCTATAATCGCTGGAAAATAAGCGGCTGGGTTTTCTTCCCCCAATGCAAATACTTCAATAATTCGACACTTGCAATAATAATAATTTGTTTAACGCCGGCGCTCCGAATTACATTAACCACTCAAATATGTATTGCCACAAGTCACAGCTGCCCAAGTCGAAATTCTGCAGTAGAAGTGGGTGAACAAGACACCTAAAATCTCGATAAATGCATAATCTCATGCAAATTCTTATTTTTTTTTTAAATATTGAACTTGGGCCATTTTGCAAAAACACGCCTATCGACCTGTGCAGCTACGACCCACGGCCATAGATATACACGCACCATTTTGAGGATTAGCTACATTTTCCACGTCACGCTTCTTTTTTGCTGTTGCTGACTGCGCTGCTCCTACCCTCTTGGGTGCACTTGCTGCTGGCTTGTTTTTCCCTTCCTTATTTAATTTCGGCATTTTCCTATTCCTGAAATCAAATGCTGTTTATTATTTCTATAACGATTAATTAGGTAAAATGAAGCGAACCGAACTAGAAATTTCAAAGTACAATCCGAAATCCAATAGAGTAATATGTGCTCATCAAAATCAAAGAATGTTCAAGAACTTTCTGTTTGCAGAATACACAGCAATATGCGCGCACCGTCTTGAAATACTAGTTAGTTTGCCAGCGAGTGCAAAAGAAAATAAATCCCCAAATGCCGAAATATTCGCTGAATAATACTCTCTTGCAAAATGCTGAATAATTCGCTTACAGATAGAAGACATACATTCCCACTTCTACAACTCTATTCTGTACTTTTTAAAATAAGCCAAGCACGAACAGCAAAATCAACGAAAGACCAATTCCCCAGAATACACCAAAGGAATTCGCTTCTACTTCGCCGTGTTGAGCGTCACATAAAATGCAAAGGCAAAAACAACACCAAACAAATACTAACTTTACCGGCATGTCGCAGTTTTGAGTGCATTGGCCACCTACCAAACACTCAGCAAAAACAAACACAACACAATTCGCAGCAATACGCACTATGCAAAAGCAAAACACCACTCAGGTCGCAGCTATGAGCGTATTGCAGACACTCAACTAAACACAAGCACAACTCAGGTCGCAGCTATGAGCGCAAACACTCAACTAAAAACAAAATCACAACTCAGGTCGCAGCTATGAGCGTAAACACGCAACTAAAACAAAAGCAGAACTCAGGTCGCAGCTATGAGCGTGAACACGCAACTCAAAACAAAAGCAGAACTCAGATCGCAGCCATGAGCGTAAACACGCAACTAAAACAAAAGCAGAACTCAGGTCGCAGCTATGAGCGTAAACACGCAACTAAAACAAATCAGATCTCAGGTCGCAGCTATGAGCGTATTGCAGACACTCAACTAAAACAAAACACATCTTAGGTCGCAGCTATGAGTGTATCGCAGTCACTCAACTAAAACAAATCACACCTCAGGTCGCAGCTATGAGTGCATTGCAGACACTCCACTAAACAAAACACAACTCAATGTCGCCTGTAGCACCTGTAGTGTGAAAAGCAAATCAAAAACGCTGTCGGCGTCGCAGAAAAGAGCGCCGCAA